CCCTACACGACGCTCTTCCGATCTCCCCAAAACCCCAAAACCCCGGGGGTATTCTATTGGGTAAATTAAATTGATAAGTCAATTAATTAGTAGTATTAAATGTTAATTAGGAAATAATTATTTAAAAGTCTTATACATTATACAAGAAAATCGGCATTAAAAATGGAAAGTACTCTGATACAGACTTAATCCTAGTAAATATCAACTGATACTAGCACTCAATTTGAAAATCTGAGTATTAACTAGAACTCCGAAAGAGATTACTATGAATTTTACAGATCTATAGGTTCTCCAAAATTTATCGTAGCTCCAATGGTAGACTAATCAGAACTTCCTTATAGAATGCTTACTAGGAAATACAAAGCCTAGCTTTGCTATACACCGATGTTCCACTCTCGATTGTTCTCAGAAAGTGAAAACTACAGAAAGGAATTCTTCACTCCTCATCCTGAAGATCGACCTCTGTCTGTCCAATTCTGTGCAAATGATCCAAATGTTCTCTTGAGAGCTGCCAAGTACGTAGAAAATGACTGTGATGCTGTTGATATCAATTTCGGGTGTCCCCAGGGCATAGCTAGGAAAGGCAAATATGGATCGTTTTTATTGGAAAAGACTGAACTGATCAGAAGCTTAGTGACTATTTTGGCTTAGAATCTAAAGATCCCAGTGACGTGCAAGATGAGATGCCTATACTCGGAAGAGGACACCTTGAAGTTAGCTCAAGTGATGTAGGATGCTGGGTGCAGCATGTTGGTCGTGCATGGCAGGACAAGAGAACACAACAAGCAGTTTGTGGGACCTGCCAATTGGTATATCATAAAGCGAATAAAGGAGACCTTAAAGATTCCAGTTATTGCTAATGGAGGATTAGGAACGTATGAAGATTGTATCAGATGCCTTGAATATACAGGATGCGATGGTGTAATGTCCAGCGAGTCGATATTGGAATACCCTGCCTTGTTTGACCCTTAGCCATCACTATACAATCTTGATCAAATAGCATTGGAGTATATGGATATGGTAGATAAATACCCTGGAGAAGCAGACTTGAAAAATGTAAGGTCTCATCTTCACAAGTTCTTGCATTCAGGCTTTAAGGAGCATACTGACCTGAGAGAAAAGTTAACGCTTGCAAAATCTTAAGACGAGTTTAGATAAATAGTTAAGGAAATGGTAGAGAGAAGAAAAGATGTTAAACCTGAGGACAAAGTAGGCTGGTATTACAGGTATTGGCCTTCAGAGGGTAAGTCAATAGAAACTACCTCAACCTGGTAAGACACTGATTGGAACCTTTAGATGTAAATAGACCCTGTCTTCAACAAAAAGAACAAAAAGTAGGAGTAGAAAATGAGGACGACTGCCGAGGTTAAAAATGAAAATATATTACTTGAAGGAGGTATCGATATGAGTCTGGGCAGCTTCCTTGACGGCGAGAATGAAGGCGAAAGTAATGAGTGATTTGGTACTTTAATAATAATCATTTATTTCATAAATTCTCTATAAGCAGATGCTACATCTTATGGGGTTTTGGGGTTTTGGGGTTTTGGGG